TTTGTGATTAGAGAAATGTATCAAATTTACGTTTTGTATAGATGAGTATTTCCAAAGTTATCCATAACCCGTTTCTTCATACATACATACATACATACATACATACATACATACATACATACATACATACATACATACATACATACATGCATGCATGCATGCATGCATGCATGCATGCATACATACACATTACATACATACACATTACATACATACATACATACACATTACATACATACATACATACATACATACATAAATACATACGTACGTACGTACATACATACATAAATATACTTTATTTAAACCTCGAATTTGGAGTAGCTAAAGATAAGCTAGTATCTTCGAGTTACAAGTATAATTCTAAATACTACTAAAATGTAAAATGTAAAATTGTAACATTCCAAAATTAAACTACGAAAAATAGCCATTCTGTAGAATCTTGCGCTCGAAATCAGGAAAGTTAGAAGTTCTAAAAGAATCCGGAAGATAGTTCCATAGTGTTTAAGCCTTATATGAAAAGGAGTGAAGGCCATAAGTAGTAGTTTTTGTAGACGGTAGAGACAAAATATAATTTCCGCGTAGACTATAGGATACAGACCGGAAACTAAACGTATTCCTTAGATAGCCTGGACAGCAGTTAAAAAACAAGCTCTTGTACAATATAATTAAGAAAGTCTGAAGACGTCTTTTATACAGAGATTTGGAGTTAACTTTGCTAAGTAGAATAAATCTAAGAATTCGCTTGTTTAAAGAATCTATCTTCTCAGTACTACGCGCACCACAAAAGTGCCATACAGACGAACAATAGTTGAAATGTGACATAATAAAAGCCTTATACATTCTCCAATTCAATAACTGTGTCAGCACCTGATTAAGTTTTGAAAAAGATTTGCCTTTAGTTATAATGAAATGCAGGAGAGGTTTTCCCTTCAAAAAGGTGGTACGACAGTCATTCGAGAGGTAGTGCCCACGGAACTTTAATCGACTCAAAAATCTATGTCCGATAAAATTCTTGCGCTTAAGAAAGGGAACATGCTGCTGATTGAAATCCTAAAAAATATTCTTGTAAAAATTGCCAGTGCATGAGAGCTTAGAAAAGGTATAATATTAATTGCGTAAATAAAAGGTTTTTTTTTCCGTTTGTGATATATTTCAAGGTTTTGCGCCCATAGAGAAAATTTGGTATTTTCGTAATAAATAATTGCTAAAAAATTTTTGATTGTAGTTCGACCCTGTCACGTGACATTGCTGATAGCCCGGATGCACCTTGTTCTGGTTACATTCAAGACTTGCAGGTATCTTGACGATTACCTTTGTTTACATCTTTGACATTCTTTGTGCCTTTTTTTCTTCTTATTCAGTGGAAGGGATCCTACTTGTTCTGTCTTTCAGGATTTTATCATCCACGTTCAAAAGAACTACATTGCACTTTACGAGTGCAGAGAAATTCTCTCGCAGAGGTAAGCAACACACTTTAAATCTGTAAATAAGTTTGTCAACCGCCTATGATTCTATCCTGTGCACCAGTGTTTGTCTATTGACCCGAATCTATGACTATCTTAGTAATTTGGTAATATCCACCAAGTTGAAATTCTAAATTGGCCACCGTAAAGAAAGCTGACGTTTCGAGCGTTAGCCCTTCGTCAGAGCGAATGACGAAGGGCTAACGCTCGAAACGTCAGTTTTTTAACTCTTTACGGTGGCCAATTTAGAATTTCAACTTGGTTGATATTACCAAATTACCTTTTTACCCCCACCGACGCAGCACCACAGCTTCTTTAGAAACTTACTCCCTTTATCCTATGACTATCTTAGCCGAGTTTAGAATGTAAGGAGGCGCATGAATTTCTTAGATTGTACCATTCGTCACGGCTGGGTCGCTGCAACCCATAGACTTCCAGAAATGACCAATATGTAACTTCTCCCCCAAATACATTTTGTGGCAAGGTAGTGATGAGAATAGACATACGTATCAGCCAGAGGAAGGCAGTTTGACATAAGATCAAATCCTAATATGTATGAAATGTCTCGTAATCTGAGGGGAGAATTACACTGCCCCTGTTGCGGTAAATACCCAGCTACGCAGGCTGGTAGAGTTCATGAGGTCTCGACGACACTGTTTCCAAGGTAAACTGCTCGTCTAATTCCACTGTTCAATATTCTTCCTGTATTTAGTTGTTGAATCCTTTCGCTTTCAGGTTGGAAGAGATGGTGTGTCGAACTATTGAGCTGTTTGTTCGTCACGCCAGTCTACTCAGAGCCATTGGCGAGGGAGGAAAACTCAAGCTTGCCGCTGACATGGCTCAGGTGAGCTGTTTTCACAGTTCTATTGCTAATGCAAGGATTTAGGAGGAGATTTTCCTTTAGCCTCGCGATTGTAGAGGTGAATAAGTACCCGTGTTGCCCCAGGTTTCCGCGGCAGCTTTCCCTATTGATACACCTGCACTCCCAGTCTCCTCTCAACGTTGGTCTGCAAGATGGTAGAGAAAAACTGGAAACTAACAACAATGAAAGGGGGAGAGGGGTGAAAGAACATCATAAACGTCATTCTGGACAAGTGTCCCAACTAATTACGTCTGCGAGTGTGGGTGGAAAGGGACACAGACTTGGTTTTTGGTGTATCTCACGAAATCTCCAGCGTTTTATTTTTCTTACTTCGTATTAACGTTTTGTTGCTGTTGTTGTTTAGATTGAATTTGCCGTTGGTCCATTATGCCACAAAGTGTCTGATTTAGGAAAGTCCTACAAACTTTTGAGATCTTTTAGGTTAGTGTGTTTAATTGTACGTTCTCCGTCACCCTTGTTAGCGAGAGGGAAGGATATAAGAATGCACCAACAGTCACAGACAGGTGGACCAACGGACATATATTCGCATAGACAGACATACCAAGGGACAGGTAGTAAGACAGTCGGACGGGCGGACCGGCTACACAGACTGGCACACGGCCAGCCGAAAGAATGGAGACCGACGGTCGAAATTGGCAGACAAAGAGTGACGGATAGATCACGCCACAGTGAGATAAAAAAAGGGACGAACATAACGAGAAACACACAGAAAGAAAGACAGTCAGACAAACAGATACACAGATGTACGGACGGACGTTCGCACGGACACACGGATGGACAGAAGTACGGACATACAAACGGACGGACGGACAGATTGATAAAGAAACAATTATTCGATTGATGTTGTCAAGCAAAAAAAGCTGCATCTTCCAAAAGTGTTGTAATAATTTTTTTCTCCCCAGACCTCTTTTATTTCAAACCTCTGAAGACATTGTAAATAATCCGGCCCTTGGGGAAAGCCTCCCTCACAGTGTGGTGCTGCATCATTTGTTTTCACGCGCACCAAACGAACTTAAATCGCCTCATGAGGTATGTACCTTCAGTTGCCAGTACTAAAAGGTTTTTTCGATGAACGCAGATACCCTTTGAACTCAGTTTATCTGTTTTTGCACTTTAAGGGTGCGAAATTAAAATCAGAGGGAAGTAACTGAAAATAGATAGAGATCATGTTGTATCAAGAAACGACCGTTATATTACTACGGTTAGAAACTATCAACATTTAGACCTTCCAGAAGTGACTAACATGTGAGTTCTCCCTGTAATATCCATACATTATACAGCCAAAGGGTAACGAGAATACTCAAACTGATCAAGTACACATTGTTACCTTGAATTAACACCAAATTCTCGTTAAACACAACGAATATATGAAATTCATATATCTGAACTGCGGTTATAGAAACGTATTTGTGCACGATCCTCGCAGTAAAGAGCACTATTTAAGCAATAGTGAAATTCAGGCCTGTACAGGATTCGAACCACTGACCTCTGCGATACTAGTGCAGCGCTAACAAGCCAACTGGGAGCAGGTCATCAAGTTATTCGACATAAACCCATACGATGATAAATCAAACACAACGAATATATGAAATTCATATATCTGAACTGCAGTTATAGAAACGTATTTGTGCACGATCCTCGCAGTAAAGAGCACTATTTAAGCAATAGTGAAATTCAGACCTGAAAAAATTCAGGCCTGTACAGGATTCGAACCACTGACCTCTGCGATACTAGTGCAGCGCTAACAAGCCAACTGGGAGCAGGTCATCAAGTTATTCGACGTAAACCCGTAAGATGATAAATCAACCACAACGAATATATGAAATTCATATATCTGAACTGCGGTTATAGAAACGTATTCTCGTTACTTATTTACAAGAAAATGTGTAACCGTGACAGCTATAAAGGAGAATCAACAATCAGATCTTGATATTCAATGGGTTAATTACGACAACCACTACAAACCCTGTTATTCACTCGCACCCAATCAAGCCCTCCAACAACTTAACTCAAGATTTATTAGAAATTGGTTGGCTCACAGTTCACTTTTTTTTTTTCGCTATTCTTAGTTTTGTAAAAATTCGGGACCACCTTGATTTATCTACACCAAGGAACTTGAAATAAAATCTCAAAATATTCGTTTCTAGGCCACTCACGTTCTCTCGCGCCTGAGATGGTTTGTATGTCTCTACATAGAATTTTTATTGGCTCCCAGTGACATATATCTTTGATTTGATTGGCTGCTGTTTGCTTTGGGTCTGATTTTACTCTATCAAAAAGCCTTTCTCACGTCACATCTAGTAATAAGTCAACTGAAATGTTATTGTTTTGTCTGAAGGTGGCTGGATGGTCATTAGGGTTCTATTCTCAGTGGCTGGATAACCATACCTCAGAGGAAGAGAAGCTTGCACTTATAAGGTAAGGGTGTCATTATGTTAGATGATTTCTCGAACACTTAGTTGAAATTTCTTTTTTCTGGCTTAACTTTCTTACACGTACAACTTATAGCCTCGTCCCCCAACTTTTAAAGGTGTCACTTGTCAGGCTATCGATCTTCGTGCATCGTTATCGTTTCCGACTTAACTAGCGACTCACTTTAAGTTACGTGCAACAGCCTGCATTTTAAGTATGTACCTTCGCGATGCTGACTCTCGTCAAAGTGACTTTCAACCCTAAATCTCTCATGTTTCCCAGCTTAACTCTGGTCAAACGAAAATGAGATTGGTAGTATAAAAATTATAATAAACTTATTGACAGGGATAGAATCATCCCTTGAAAGATATTTTAAGAGAAAATAGCCTCCGAAGACTGTTACACAACAACAGAATAAACAGAAAATTCGGAGAAGAAAGGGCGTACACAAATACCGCCCACAGAAAAGCTACAACAAGTTCTCTAATTTAAAATTCAGCGCGGAGAGCGAAAAGTAAAAGTTTTCACCTAAAAGAAAGAGGTGTTGAAGGTGTCAAATTAAAATTTAAAAAGTATTTTCCTGATCGTGAATTTGACATAGAATTTGATCTAAAAAACAAGCCTGAGAATAGTCGAAAGTATAAGAAGTAGGAATTTCCCAGGAACTCCTGTACGAGGTTAATTTTTTTACCAGAAAGATTTACTCTCTTCTTTATCATGCAGATCGACATATTAAAATATAGTTTACCGTGAAATATACCACAACAAGTTCTAATTACCGTAGAAACTGGACATCTGCTTTAATGTCAAATTCACGACCGCAGTAAGAAAAAGCTGACAGAAATTGTGCCTGAAAGATAAGACGGCCAAAAGGGAATAGGAAATAATCAACTTGTTTATTACAATTTTTGTAGCGAATGGCTTATAGTAATGTAGCATTTCCATTCCTTTTCCCAACACCAATATAAGGAAACCTTTACAATATTCTCAGATTAGATACAGATCTATTTTTATCGTTGAACAATTATAACCAATGATAAGTTGGTTTATCCACTGGGTAAAATGTTCAAAAGTATATCTATCGATCAGTCAATCATTTGCTCGGCTTGTCTGGCCGTTGGGTCATCCACCTTCGGGACCTGCTACTAGCATGTTTGTCTATTAAACTGACCATTCGTTCGTTTGTCCGTCCTTCTTTTGCCCTTGTGTCCATCCTTTCAGTCTGCCTTTTGGTCAGTTAGACTGTGAAACAGCTAGCTAACTCAGACAATGTGCCAGTCTTATTTCGAGCAGTCGGTTGAAATTACAAGTGATAACCTGTGTCTTAACCATATTTGGCTGTTCATTTGTGATCTGCAGAGGCACACTGGAGGCATACGTTCAGTCAGTCAGATCACGTGGAGAAAAAGAATTTGCACCAGTGTATCCTATCATGCTTAGGATTCTTCAAGCTGCGAGCACTACATAAGGTTCTTAACCCTACGGTGACAGGAAGAAAAGCAAACAAACAGATAGACAAACAAAAACCAACATCAACATAGGATCCAAAAAATAACGTAGCATATTCCTGGAAGTTCGTTGCCATTTGAAACTTTCCATGTTTGAAAGAAAAAGAAATTAAGTTAATTTTTATAGATAAAAATATGGGCAAATGTGGTTATTAAATTTTATAGATAGACAAGCAAAAACCAACATCAATATAGGATCCAAAAAATAACGTAGCATATTCCTGGAAGTTCGTTTCCAGTTGAAACTTATCATGTTTGAAAGAAAAAGAAATTAAGCTAATTTTTATGGTGGGTCGACAGAAAACAGGGATATGAAATTGTCAAATGTGTATGTAACGGCTTATCGTTAGAAGGCACCGAACTTCGAATGCCAATTCTTCACATTCTCAATTGGTTGATGTTATACTTTAATTGAAACACATTCCCTAAATAGAGGGGCATGAACAAATGAGACTGGTGACGACCTTACATCAGAGGACTTAACCTGGATAAGTTTAAGAAATAAGGAGATACCAGGAACTGAGAATTAACTTGGATTGTTAAAAGGGGAATTTGAAAGGCACCTTAAAAGTAGAAAAACCTTCAGTGGAGTCTTGAAAAGTTTTTCCAAGATTGATTAAGGTTAAGCTAAAACCAGATTCCAGTTCTTGGGCCTCTAAGCCCATGGAATAAAGGTGTTTAATATAACTCAACTTTGAACTTTGCACAAGCCCAGAGTTAAAAGCTAATGAAATGGAATATTCCAACGAGTTTGCTTGCCCCCTTGGCGCAAGTTTTACTGAATACATATTTAACTGAAAAGGAATGTTTGGATCTTGGAGTGTGGACTTGGTGTAACTTGAGCCGTATGGTTGAGTTAACCCCTTGTTGATTTCCTCTTATATTAGTAGACGGCACATCTGATTTTCATAAGAATTATTTTGCGGAAATAGCACATTTGGCCATATTTGTGAGCTTTTTGGCCTGTAATATTCATTGTTGTTTTCCACTGTTGTTCAAAAAACGGTGAAGAGGACTCCCTTTCATGTTAATGTTTGCCAATTATATCCGGTCATTTACGCAGTTATCAACCAGGGGGGCCTTGCGACGCATGTGGAAAGATATTTGCTCTCGCCTGAAAGATAAGTTGAAGATAAATTCTGTGATATCTTAACAAAGAGAAAATGAGATGTTTGACTTGAATCTGCAGCATAAAGAAATTGGGCAAGAAATTGAATTTGATTTCTTAGTGGTTTTGTGGTTACATCCTAATGGGCACACCCGTTAGGGACGGCGTCTTGTTGTCTAGGACGCCTGTTTAACTTGTTTCCTTGATGTTTGTTTGGCTGGAAATGTGTATTAGATATTCATGAAGGTAGAAGTTCATCTACGGCACAGTTCTTTTTCCTTATGATAGTTGTTTTTGAGTTGCCAGAGCTTTCAGCTGCGGTAAAAGTTATTTTGCTTTATCCTCACAAAAGATTGCCGAACACCTGAGAGAACTGTTCAGTTTGAATTTGTGGTTTCCTCATTTCCGCCTCTAGAGATAAAGAATCCTTTGTGTAGGACGTTACCACGTTTACAAGCTACGTGCTTAAATGATGAATGGTTTGTCATGTTCACATATTACGCAAGAAACATCGATTCATTGTTTAGTTTTATTGCCTCTAAATGAAGAACTTGAATTGGGGAATCCAAGGTCAAGCACAATAGTGCCTTTCATTGAACTTCAAACAAGAAAAAGGAGAATAAAGATATTTTTAAACGGTTGTTAGTTTGTTTGGCGAGTCTTCAAGTCACGAACGGCTACATTAATTTGCTGCAACTCCTGTTAAACATTGACAGGTTTCTGGTTTGTTTACTCGATTGGCTTATGTATGTTTTAAAAAGTCGGACACGGAATACGTGTTATCTATGCATCTAAAGCTTTGTGGTACTATATCAGCTTTTTAATTATCTTCTGAGCAATTAATTAGTTGTAACGGAAACATCATTCATGTTTCAACAATGTCAGTAGCTTGCTTAAAAAAAGAAATAGATATCAGTTCTCTCTTTCAATTCTTTGTCAGTTTTTGAAGGGAAAATTTTATCAATGTATGAAATACACTCACGTACAGAAAATAATATATACAGTGTAATCTTTGCGGGAGACATATTTAAAATCAAGGGATTCCCGATTTATTCTCTTCACAAAGGCTCCTTAGAGGATTTTACAGATTACTTTTTCAGAGAGGAAATGATTTGGTTAAACCAAACCCTAATCGTACATTTTCCTGCTTATACCTCAAACAATAATAAACAGGCTTGTTAGACTGTGTGAAAAGATTAATCTTTGTGATGTTTAATCTCTGATGAAGCAGATGTTTTTCCGGAGAGTTTAGGAAGTCACGTCCAAGCCTTGAACACAGCAAATTGATGAAGTTGTTCCAACTTTGCGGTTTTGTCGATTTGTAGAGAGAGGAGCTTACAAGCTCGTATTGTTAGAAAGCATATGCCTTCCGATAGTTAATACGTACGAGTCATACACAACCCAGGTGGGCTTCTTTTTAAGCGGTTCTTAAGTTTTCCCCCAAGCTACAAGAGGATCATGATACTCTCTTACCTACGCTTAATAAAATTTACTCGGACTTTACTTCTCGGATTCCTAAATCCACGTTAATACTGCCTTTTCGAGTTTCTTGTCTGCTCGGCGCAGTTCTTACTCTTAGATTCACATTATTCTGTTCGCACTTAGACAGGATTGGTATGAATTAAAGTTTTGAAAGCTTCTGGACCACCCGCTCTGGCAGAAGAGACACCCATGCAACATTTTCCTTACGATTTTTGAGGGCCGCTCTAAGCGAGCTAAGCTTGTTGTTTGTGAGTTGGTAGGATGGTTAGAAACTTTCTGCTTCTGAATATGCACCAAATGTTCCTTGAAAACTATTATGATTTGTCTTATCATGGGGGGTCAAAGTTGAAACAAGTTGACTATCGTTTCGTAGCAACATTTCGTTAATTTCAGGGAAAGTGAGTGTTCCTGAAAGTTGTTTTTTTTAAAACACTTGGAACTGTGGTTACCATACGAGACGAGAAATCTTCAAATTCAAAACAACTCTCTAGATAAATCATTCCTGAGGTTTTGTATTTAGACACTGTCCACTGCCCCCTCCCTCCCTACACACCCAAACACAACTCTCCATAGCAACAGATAGACAAGGAGCTATATATCATAGTTGGTTGTTATATTGGATCCCTTTTTCCCTTTCATGTACGTTTCATATACCGCGTGCTAAACACCTTAGCTACTGGTGTGAAAAAAGATTTTTTTATATCGGTGTAAGCTATCGCTCATTCCTTTCGATCTTTTTCTTTATTATTCTCATGTACACAAACCATTTTTACCACGTAATAGATGTCAAGAACATAACTGACCAAAGAATGCTTAGTACGTGTATAGCTCCCAATCAGTCCAGACTGACAGACTGCAAATGACATTATTACCGTACAGTCACCTTTGAGCCTGCGTTCCAATGAATGTGTTCAAATGGGATCTAAAGTAAACAAAAGGTTTTTTTTTTCACCACCACAGAAAAGCGTGTGTGTTCTTTTATGTCTTTCTGTACACGGAAATCTGCAAAACATTACATTGTGAAAGTTCTCTACGCTTGTAGCTTGTGTTCAAGTGAAAGTGTGTTCAAATAGGATCTTAAGTAGACAAAGGGTTTTTTTTGTTACCGCCGAAGAGCATGTGTGTTTTTCACGTCTTTCTGTACGCGGAACTCTGCAAAACATTACGTTATAAAAGTTCTATACGCTTGTACGAGCTTCACTAAGTCCAGCTGAATATTGTGAGGCAAATATCCGTGTAAACAATTCGGTTTCTTATCATCGATAATAATTGACGTCAATTACCAACGTCACAGATTCTCATAGCACGTGGATCTTGGAATCGATCCGTTTGATGTTCTTTTTATGATTTTCAGCACACACAGTTAGTTACTGTAACAAAAATTTCGCCTAAACAGCCGCGCTGTGACTGGTAGTCACCCTTCCTTGCGAGCATACTTGCCATTAACCTGATGATGCGACGTCTATTGCTCAGGGACAATTTGAACGCAAAAATAGTCTTGAATGGCGCGAGCAGCTGCGAGTGTCGTCAAGCTTACGTCAGCCTCAAATAAACTTCGAAAAAGTTGACTCTTGTTTCAAGGCGTCGTAATTGGGCGCGAAATTGAGATAAAAAAAGTTTTCCCGCTAAAAGAAAATCCGAAAATTAAAAAAAAAGTGCATTCCTATGTGTCTCTTATGGACCTGATATGGGTTTTTAATACCACTATGGGCCATCTAAGTCGACTTAATTTGTTCACCTAATTGCCGTTTGTAGTGTACCCTGTGAACGCACTGTTCAACTGGAAAGGATTGACGCACAACTATCTGCCTCATTTACTTTGTAGTAACTCAAACAGAGCAATTAAACCTTATTATATTTGCTTGACAGCTAGTGGCGCTTTAATTTTCCAAGCAGGTGCAAATTCACTACGTTGCTATGCGAAGGTTGGCGAAGTGGTAAAAAACATTGTTCATCTTGTTGACCGTGTAATCGTGCCATAAGCAATGTGGGTTTTGTTTACTTGAAACTTGAGTTTCATTTTACGTTGAGAAATAAAGACTTTGGATTACACTAATTGAAGCTTTTTCGAAGAGGGTTTTCTTTTTATTAACCAAAAAACAAACGCTCCAGTCTTTGAACCGTGAATTACTGACATGTAACTTGGCAGTGGCCATGCGTTCTTTGTAGTAAGCTTCATATAATTCGCCTTTTGTCCATTCACACTTTAATTAGTTATATTAGCACATGTTAGTATTTCAAACAGTAATGGAGAGTTTGAAGGCAGTCGGCTAGAGCTCCTCCAAACTCTTTCCTTCCAAATTGTATGAAGACTTAAATTAGAATTCGTCACTTAAGCGTACTTAACAGAAGTTAGCCCCTCTGTTGTTTGACAACTTCTTTGTTCTTGAATATAAAATCAGCGTCGCTTTTTGTTATAACATCTAAGGATTCATAAACAAAGAAAGTCTTTAAACTGATGACCTTTTGACGGCTCTTTCAAATACTGGTGATCATTATTAAGTCCGGCCTTTATAAAAAAGAATTTGTCACTAAATTTGCCTCCAATCTAATTTCTTTTTTTACTAAGCTTTCGGGAGATTAAGCGCAAACCAATCAGAGATAAATAATTCCTCGTATTTCATACTTTGCCATGCCATACAGCTTTAAGGCTAATCGTTTCCCTACTATTCACCTAGGTAACAGGAAAAAATAAGCAACGTGGTCTCAAAGTCTACCAACAGGTTTCAAACCATACCTCCTTTGTGACATGGTAAATATTTTCCGCATATTTTCCTGTTAACCCGATGATAACAATACGTATTTACCTTCCGAGACATCGCAACTCTGTGGTATTGATAAATTTGACAGTGCATCTTTCTACCGGCAGATGTCTGGAACGCGTGTTGCACGGGTGGGATATTAACTGACTTGTCGTGTAATACCTGCTAGGGCAGGTTCTTCTAAGTACGTTGTATTGAGGTTTTACCAACACTTGTCGACTGATCTGCAAATCTAATAAAGATTTCTAAATAATTGAGTTTGAAATGAAAATAAAACACAAAAGCAACATAACAGGTAGGTCAAAAAAGACAGTCTGTCCAGATTAATTTCTATTGTTTGGCAACGAATCTGCCGGGATTTCGAGTGATAAACTTCGCTCAAGATTCAAGTTTCTCTGTAGTGTAATTGCCCATTGATAATTGGTTGTAACAATTCTTCACGGATAGCATCTCGTTCCCGAAAATGAGCTGATAATAGCTATTCGAGACATTCGCAGCAACTGCCTTTGAATATGGCAATCAATGTACAATGTTTCCTAAATTTCAACCGGTTAATTCAGGTACAAGAACTCAGACACGTGCCGATTTAGACTGCCTTTTTTTCATTCGTTTTAATAAGTTTGGAGAAGCTGTAGCAGGTCTCCTTTGGAGTCAAGAATGAACTTTTCAGGTGGTTCTGTTTAATTTCTAGTTGTTGACGTTTCTTTTTGCTGGTGTCCGGAATTTTAAGGAAGTTGTTTCGCAATTTAAAAACTATCGAGAATACTACTGTTGGTTCACTCGGTGGCTCCAGCTCTGGACTTATTAAATGACAATCACCCCTGGGTGTTGTGGTACTTTTTGTTATAACCGACATTGAAACTTTTTGGTATGTGAATGAAATTCCACTAAGTGAACTTTTGGATCGACTTGATGAGTGGATTGTACTTTACCATTAAAACCAATTTGTGTAACTTTTCAAATGACAGCTTCTCAACATTACTTTTATGCGGTACTGTCTATTGTTTTGGTGCAAGGTGGTTCTAACTGTAAAATTCATGGCAGACAAAAGCCGAGCAGTGGTGTGGGTTACCATTCAAACAAAAGCAATTGAGCAGTTTTTTTTTTTTTTTTTCATGTTGAACTATGATGTATGCAGTGATTCGAACTCAAAAGCCTGTCGATAAATTCCTAGTGTGTGATTATTCAAACTGAGAAGGCCTTCGGGCAGTTCTTTTCATGAGGAACTGTTTACTTTGTTATATAAAAAGTGGTTCTAGCTCAAAAGTCCCAGTGTGTCAGTATTCAAATGCAAGCTGTTCATGTTGACCAGTGTATTCTTATACTGCATTTTATACCATAAAGTCGCGCAAAGTGATTCGGTAATTAGCATTTTAGTGTCCATGAAACCCCAGTGTGTAAACGTTTAAACTAAAGCTTATGAACAGTACTTTTATGTGGCACGGTTCAGTGCTCACTTTTGTGTCAAAGTGTATGTAATTATCTTTTGTAGTCAGCTTAGGCTCTCTTAGGGGTGAAGGATCAATACAACCTGTTTTTGCAGGTATCACGCGCACGAAAGAACTGAATTGGGCACCTGCAAAGCTGCACTGAGAGCTTGCGGCAACTTCTATCGAACCAATCCTCATTGTCAAAAGAGGTTCCGGTTAAAAATCACTGATTATCCCTATAAGATTATCCATAAAGCTGCAAAAACTCGTCTGGAACTATTTCTGTAACTTTTCCTTCCCCTTTGAATATGATTTCAAACGATTCCAGTCGTAATTTTATCCCAGTGCTTTAATCCTAAAAACCAGACAGACGCTTGAAGGTTGAAGATGTTGTTGATACAATTTTACCCGGCTATACTTTTGAGCCATTTTGATTTGGATGTTGTGTATATATATATATATATATAGAGATATATACTGGCACGTTCAAAATAATCTTCTAAGTGTTTTATCGCCATTTTAATTGACCAGTATTCCATTGGTTTTGGATACACTGACGTTGTGCAAACGTAAGAGTTCACATGTGCGTAGCATTCATGATCTGTAAGATACAAATCACCTTCTTCTATCTGTACATCGCTACTGATCTATCGCGCCTTCAGGCTCACCAGTCATTGCGGCTTCGTTAGATCAAAAGTTATTTTCCAACTTTAAAACTGTGCAAGAACTTTGTAGAAGGTCTTTCAAGAATCGAGAATAATCGAATCCTTCTTAGGCGAGTTTTGAGATTTTCGACAAGGAAAAAAAGACAGAAGAAGTGTGCAGAGATTAAAATTAGCTTCAGTCAGTCCGCATTTTTCCCGTAGCCGTTTCCGGCGGTTTCATTTTTAAAGGAAACATAACGGCCAAGTCATGTTTCTGTTATGCAAAGTGGAATATGTTTTAAATTTACGCTGTATCATGTTTATTTTTATAAAGAAACGGTATCTGTTTGCCGTGCTATTTTCTATTTCTTGCTATATTGTGTCCGTTGGCACTGTGAAAACTGATAACGGAAGTAATGTAAGAAGGCTATTAACATGAGACTTAATATAACTGTCAAGTTTTGCATAACTGTTTTAAAATGAAAACAAGGTTTAAAATGACAGAAAAAATATTTAATGCTTAATTTTATCTCAGACAGAAATGAAAGTTCCGAAATTTTGTTCTAAAACTTCGAAAAGAGGAAATCGTCCTCGAATCAAATCATGGAAGTTCAAATCAGCTTAGTTGGGAAGATGTCTTGATCCCTTGGCTTGTCTGCCTTCAGAAAATTAAGGATTGAAACTAAGTGTTTTTAATATCTAATTAATTGTTTTTAGGCTGTTTCTCATGATCTTCGGAGATTCTTCACGAAACATGTTTGGTTAGTCCTATTTACCGGCGAAATGATTAAGATCTTGGTGTTGTAAGGCCAGAGTTTTCATAGTTAACGTGTTCCCATTACAGCAACCAGAAGTTCTATTAAGTTGGTCGACTGAACAACTGAATAATGTAAACAGAATTTAAGACTCCGAAAGCTGAAGAATAAATTGAAGCAAGTGCCAAAAGAAATGGAACTTGTTCGAATGGATCTCACGGTACAAAATCGGATGGTTCCTTAAACGTGCAACACCGTTAAACTTAACATTCTTAGCAAATTATTGATGATAAGCTGAATGTTCTAGAATCTCTTGAGTCGAGACAAAAATTTCATCCAGTTCAAGCAGGTGCCTTTTGAAAGCGGAACAAACTTTGTCAGATGCAAAAACATGACTAACTCAAAAGCAATTGAAATTTTGGTGATCTATTATAGCACAAAAGCTTTTTTTCTTATTCTTCGTTTAGGAAATCGCGTGCACTGAACGGAATGCCAAAACAAAACAAAACAATTGTAAGCGTACGGGGGTATTCAGGTTATTGAAGGCTAAAGTATTCATGACAACCTCGTGTTTCCGTTTCAAGGCACATGGTGAAGAAATAAGTGGAACAAAAAGCTCCCAAACGATTTCACTTTCGATCGAAAGTCGTAGACACCCTTCAGAGTTTGAGCTATACACTTAAAGTTTGTCGACAGGACTGATAGGCTACCGAGAGCTCGACAAGATTGTATAACTTTTTTGAAGGATTATAGCTTTTGTTTGATAAAACAAAGAGAAATTGCGAAAAAAACAGGTCATTAGTATTTGATTGAATGGATATCTTTATTGTAAACACTTTTCTGTATCAAATTTCAGTCGTAAAAATATGTTTATCCTTAAACTTTATAATATATATTTTCATATTTCTTTTTACAATGCCACTTGTAAAGTTATTATTTACATATTTGATTCGATTCAGTACAAAAATATATAACTTTTATGGCAACCCAATGGTTTAAGTAATTCTTGGATTAACCCTGAAGAAGTCAACAAAGTTTATTTTCATTTATCTACCATGGCCTCCAAACATTAGTTCTTTGAGCTGGATTCATATGTCTGGGTTGTTGCTGTCGAGAGGAGAAGTTAAATCCCGTATCTCGTGTTCTGCACGTTGAGGCAGGCGATAAATCTCGCGTCAGACCCCCTGAGGAAGCTGATAAAACAGGTGACACTTGAAGTGGAGATGGTGGTGGAGACGGAAAAGGAATCATGACGGGTTTTAAGGGTGCCATGAACCGAAGACTCTCTGTGCTAAAGACAGGGACAGCGGTTGGGCCGTTTCCTTGGCAACGAGATGCGAGGTGCGCAAGGAAATTTTCTCTGAGTTCATCATTGGCCTCAAGAGACGTTATTTTCCTTGAGATCTCTGCAGTACATTGCACGTAATTTGCTCTGAATTCCGGAAAATTGGCGGTATCCAGTGCTGAAAGATAAAAGAGATTTTCATGGTTCACACAAGGTTAAAAACATAGTTTTCGACTCGTCAGTTTCTCTCCCTTAAGATAAGGATGTGGTACTGTTGAGGTTGCGGGAAAAAATCAACAACAACAACAACAAAAGTTCATCTTCAGGAGTGATGAAACCTCGACTCAACCAAGTTTAAAATTTGGGATGGAAAAGTGATCTGGAACAACAGATACTTAATCTCGAGTTTCTGCTCTAATAAATGAATCACTGAGTATTTGATATACGAACATTGATAATAATTCATCTCTTTGACGATTGAGGACAAATAGGGACTGAACAATACTTATAACAAACGATCTGAAGACAAAATTGCCAATAAAAGTACCTTGGTGTTTTTGTTCCAATCTTTTGCGTTCCCGAAGATAATGTACTGTCATCTCCAAAACATCAGCTTTCTCCATTTTCGAATACCGAGATGCCTTGAAATTAATGTGAAATTAATTGTAAATAAATATTCTCCCGTGAATCCTAACCAGCGTTAGCTAAATGAATTAGAACCTTGGAATTAGCATTTTACAAATTAGTTACTTACATCTTTATTCAACGCTTCAAGAATGAGAGATTTCAACTCGTTCAGACTTTCATTAATCCGTTTTCGTCTCATTTTCTCCATGAGAGGTTTTTTCGCCTGTGGAGCACAATAAAATTTGGTTAAACATCATTCTTAAGTAATACGAGAGGTTGACGAATGTTTATAAATATTACAGCGTTGATTAATTGATGTAGACCTTGGCCTACCTTTCGTTTTTCATTCAAAATTTTGCTGACGTAGTCCGAAGGTTGATTACAGAAATTTATCGTCGCCATCTTGAATGAGTCGGAAGAGAATGACCTCACCTGTGTACCGATCGAGCGCAATTTGCGTGTGGCGGTCGTGTGCCAAACATTCACTTTTTATGGCAGGCTCCGTGGGAAAATTCTTTCGGCCTTGTGTCATCAATCGCAAATATTTACCCTCACATTTACAAGGACAATAACCATAACAGCTGAGAACAATACAACTGACCTTTATAATGGTAGGTCGTGGGAACGGTCTCTTCTGATTGGTCAGTTTCTTGAGGCGCACGACAAACTGCAGGAACAAAGCTTCAACGTCGCCATCCGCTCGTGACGAGCGTGAGACCAGTCCCCGCTGATTGGTTGAGAGCACAAGCAGCGCCTGTGTTGAATTACTTACAAAAAAGACAGTATACACAAGCTGAAAACAAAAGTTCTACAATTGAAGTGCCTCGATGAAAGACCGCGGAGAGGCCAAACAGAAGAAAATCATTTCTCAACGGAAGAGTGTCTAGTCATCTTGACATATTTTTTGCCACGAGGTTATCGCACTGACGTGTTGAAAACGTGATAAGTTTTTAATGGTTTTCCTGCGGGGCGTTTAGACACTCATTTACACAACTTCATTTAAATGAGGAGTCGCCAACAGAGCGTAAAATGACATGCACGTGCTATTTCTTTTCACAGCGTCCAAATCTATTGTCACTCCTTTCATTTATACCAGGATTGTCTCGGCGCAAGAATTACTCTGCGGTTTACTCGGTGGATTTTCATGACAATAGAAGTCGGATCTTTCCCACGGTCCGAGAATAAAGAACATTTTTTCACTGTCTATGCGTTATTATTCGCGCTGTTGGAGTTTTGTCATGTTAAAACACAACCACGAGAACACTAAAGGGAACTAAGTAAACTCTAAATGAGCTTTGAAGGGCTCTTATATCAAGATCATTCAGAAAATTTTTGCGAGGCAATGGTCAAAGGGCGTTGGGTATCGCTTCGTCTTGGTTATTATTTGTCTGGTTCAGATGGAAAATGTTTTTTGATTTGCAAGTAAAACCGAAATATCTCCCGACACGTGCCACCCCACGCAGACAGGAAAGCAAAAGCGGAACTTGTCAATACAAATCAAATTTCGGAATTAAGATTCCAAAGACTTGGGCGGCTAAATATTAAATCTTGTCCGTATGGGCTTAGCTTGCTTTGCTCTATCATTAGAAAATGTTTAAGCGTATTAATTACATCGGCAAATGATTTTCAAAGGAGGCAAATATATAAACGTGATGAGTAAAGCTGACGTGTGTAATTTCACGTTTACCACCCGCGAGAAGTCTACAAATACCATATCTGACTTTCATCAGAAGGTTAATATCATTTTTTCTCACACCGTAGGCTGTGTGGTTAGCAGTTCATAAAGTTCAGTATCATTTATCAATATAACCTCAGAGTGACAGATACGTTATTGTCTTCGAAACACTTTGTTTTAGTTCCGGTAAATTATTGCTAAACGTTTCATAGATGAGGAATGAAATCTCTTTAAACCCAAACAGCCACATTCTCCGCCGTCAAATAAACGGTTCATAGACGTTGGCATCAAAAGGAAGTCTTATAGACTCCTATGCAAATTTCCCTCACTAGTCAGGCGGGAAACGGAGAGATGAGAGTACAGTGATACCTTCTGAATTCAGTCATGTGGCCTCCTTACCTTGCAGCATTTTTTTTGTGCTTGAACATTTTGTTAAGACAAAACGGGCGTTTGTACCTTGAATTCAAGAAATAATTTGACTCATCTAGAATTCTCGCAATAGTTTTACAGTTCTGAAAGTGGCGGTTCGTACTGCAAATAGGGTTTGAAATTAGGTTAAGTATGTTCAAGATTCTTTGGGCGTGAAGGCTTACTAGTTTGTGCCAGAATTAGGAGGTAACTTTAATATTGACGATCGACAACAGTAGAATTTACTTTTTATTTAGCTCTGATTGGACGCTACATTAGGTCTTCAACAGGCATGTCCCAATAGATGAAAGTATTATTATTATTTTATTTTTTTTAGACATAACTAGCAAAGACACTTGAAATAAAGTTCTTGACAACATTACTCACGCATTCATGCGCGTTGAAAAGTGCGCTTTAGGAAGCGTGCGCTGAACGCGGCTCGTGTGCCGTTTTTCCGAGAAAAACCGCAACTCTACTTCTGTTGTGAAGTTAGCTGTATTCTGCTGTGTTTTAGAATTCATGAAATGTTAATTTCTCGAAGGAATTAACAACGTTAACCGTACTTTCGACTCACACAAGAAAGCCGACCGATTTAAGATTACGAGTTATTTTCTTTTGAAGTTTACTTTCTAGAGCGGGAAGTCTGTGACGTTTGATATAATATCAGCATTATTATATCCAAACATTTTCTTTCAAAAGGTAAGTCAAGCATTAGAGACTCACCGACATCAACAAACAACTTCTTAACAAGAGAGAGATGAATTTTTTCTCGTTAAGTTTCGTGCCAGGCTGCTAATCCTTTTCGACACAATCAATTCAGTATTTGAGAAAGCCGCTCAATAAACAAGGATTTGTTGAAGCGCAGACAAGATTACAGTTCAGATGTTTGACCTCTCTCACAATTGGTTGCGTACCACTTTCCGAAAATCTAATACCCGTGTGACAGTCCAAAAGAAAGATTGGTTAAGTTAATGCTAAGGGCATTCATGCGGAATGAGTAACTTCAGGAATTCCTAACGGGTTGAAAGAAACAGCGTAATTGTTACAAGCAAACAGATACTTGGTAAAAAACACTCAGCTTAGCTCGAAGTATCACAGGAACACAGTCTCGAGAGAAACACGAATAAAATAATAGCACGGTCATGTGCAGTTCTTTGTTCAGTTTTGTTCGAATTCCGTTGAATTCAGCTTTTCGAAAGGGGCGGCAATGAAATATTGGAGGGTGCTTCTGCGGGCCACGGAGCTATCTGCAGGAATGTAGCGAAAACGATTCTTTTGCCTTTTTTTAAACAATGCAACAACTCTTTTAGTTTAGTCCTCTTGATTCTAAGAAAGGTTTAAAAGGAAACCAGTTTTCTAAGCTCTGCTTGTTGCTTTCTTCATGGAGCAAATTCAAAAGAGCCACTTAGCACATTTTTAAGTAACAGTAGTTGTTATTTTCGACGCAAATGATAGCAACAACATCTCAGAAGACCTAATTTTCCAAGACATAAAGGTTCAGTTGTAAAGTAGTTTTCACTAAGAACCTTTCAGTCACTAGCTTACATAGGCTGAGGGTCAACTAGTAGTCCAAATGGCTGCGTCGTGCAATCGCTGGAGTCGATAATTTAAAATCAAATTAGTGTTGTCGTCCAGAACTCTAACAGTCTTCTTATCATATTTGATAAAATTATCTCTACTATCTACGGAAAGGATTAAAGCGCCAACCTCGTAACTGCCATTAACATTCTGCAAATGTGGTCTGCAAGTTTTTTTTTTTTTTTTTTAACTTTCCTCTTCTAAATCTTTAGTATGCTTAAGCTGAAATGAGTACAGAAAAATTTGTTGGATGCAAAACAAGTCCGGAGCATTCAGTTAGAAGTCGTTTGGGATAGTTTCGGAATGATTTAATATCGGAAAAAAAGGTAAAACTGCAGATTTTTGTGTTGACTCTGACTTGAAAGCCACTTCCGTTTGACAGGATTACTGCGGATACTTGCAAAGTGATAGACAAATTTTGCATTTAATTGGAATTACTCTTCTTGGCAGTAGCTGATGCTGAACTGACTTGCTAATCTCCACCGCCGACTTTTTTCTTATTAAACTGCCGCCTGCATAACAGACTCAATGTCGCAGACATGTCGGATTAACAAAACACGCTGCAAAAACTGGTTACCATTAGATTTTCTAAACCTCTTCTCCACACCAATAGGAATTTTTCAATTAAGATTAATTTAACTGCATGAACTAACAATCTTTGACCAAGACAACAACAAAGCATAACAAATGAATGAGCAGGATAGCTTGTTAAGTCCAGTTGTGTTGGACTCTCGCGAGTACTGCGGGGTAATCTAAAGGAGTTTTCTACAGTTCAAAATTTTTCTTTGGATTCTTTCCAAATTGTTTTAAAGCAAGCTTGTGAAAAGAAGTCTAATAATGACACATTTTTCGACAGATATTAATTTCGGCTCAAATTATTTGTTGCCCTCTTCATTCCGATGCTGTTTGCAATGGTCACATGGGGAAATTGACGATTTACCAGCACACTCGCTTCCGACGTCTTCCGTATTCAAGAGTTGTTTTATTCGTATCTATACATAGCTTTTGGAACAAAAATATATATACCTCTAGCACAATTCTTAATAAATATTCAGTAGTTTTAATAGCTCGACTAATCCAAGCGACCCTCATTTTAAAAACACTCCAGAAATTCATTTCCGCCCAGGAAGCAATTTAACAAAGGCTCACGATATCGATTGTAATGTAGGACGAGCGTCACCAAGGTCTCCACAAAGATGTGTCGAATGCAGTTGAAGCATTGGCGGGTAATGTCAAAGGTAGAAGTTGCAGCGCAGTGTCATTCGGTAAGATCAAGGCTGGAATACCGTTACTAAGCATAAAGGGTGACATAGAGGGCGACATTGTCGGTGGAAAAGGTAGTAGTTTCCTTTCTGGATGGTTGTGAAAAGGTGACGAAGGAGGCGAGGGGAATTTCGTTGCCATACTTCCGTCGGCGAAAGCCGTGCTCGCGCCAACTTTTGGTGAAGTGGCGGGAAAAGATGACGACAGCGTTGCGTGAGCTTGTTGTCGTGAGACTGACATATCGTTGGGAGAATGATGAGGGTCTTTTTGTTGTTGACAGGTTGACGCTAGGTGTGATAGAAGCTGTGTGCGAATCGGGACAGTAATATTGTCTGCTGTCATCAGGAATTGAGAAACTTTGGCAGCACACTCATTGAAGCCTGCTCGATATTTAGCGACTGCAGAAGCGTCTTCTGTAAAGAAGAGAAAAAAAAATGGTGCCAATTATAAGTATCATATTTCAAATCTCTAACACTTAACATTCTTAATTGGCACCTCCGGTTCTGTTGGATGTGGGCGGAATGTTTGATACCTTCGGAATTCAGAGGTTTACCATCTCGTTAAAATTTCACAGTGCCAACATCAGTAGGCTCAAGAAGCTTTTAATGAACAGTTCAGGTAAAATGAAAGTGAAAATGGTGATGAAATGAAAAATCAAGATAATCTGGTCTGCAAGCAACGCGCTGAGTTGACGACAAAAGAATTGTTGAGGTGTGAGTTAAAGATAAGATCGACGTACAGAGATCAACACAATTAAAGAGCGCTCTCTCTCAAGGTTTTAGCGTTGAAAGGTTATTAGCAGTTCATTAGTTCTAGCCTATTGCTAAAGAGAAAATAAAATTTTGTGTTTGTTTAGAATAACGTTTTTTGAAGGCCTCGAAGTAATTTTAAAAATCTTGGTACCATATGTCAAGAGAAAAGTAAATTGCAAAAGGCCAGGATGCGAAAAAATTCAATATGTATCTAGTTGAACAAATTCAATCGAAAATTGCTGGTTAAATATGATGAACCAAACGATGTGTTTTACTGCCTTACCTTGATGTTGCTTAATATGCAAGGTCCTCTCAGTGTTCAGTGAACGAAGATATTTCACAGTCATTTCCAGAATATCGGCCTTTTCCATTTTGGAATACCTTGACACCTGTTGGAAGAGGAAAAAGATCAGAATCCTGACACCAAATAATTATTTGCCCTTTCAATGTGCATCTTTTTTAGTACTTACATCTTTTTTCATCGCCTCCAATACAAGAGTTTTCAATTCATTCAAACTGTCATTAATTCTTGCCCGACGCATCTTCTCCATAAGTGGTTTCTTAGACTGCAAGGCAAAACAAACCTTTGCTATAATTAATCATTTCATTTTTCTGAGTAAAAGAATGTTTACTCTCCTTGAGCAAAAAATTCATTTATGGTAGGGATTACCGCTAAAAAAATTCACCTTTACAACTATACTTTGAAATTTAAGGAGCCCTGTTATATGTTACTAAATGTGCAATTAAGCGAATAGTGAATTGAAAAAGCTATAATTGCTACATCTCGATACCTTCTTTGTTTCCTTTTTAGCACTACGCTGAGCATTCATAACGGGTTTCAAAATCTCTACATCCATTTCTACTGTCAAGTTTACGCGTGCGATCCGCTCACTTGTGGCAGCATAAAATACTTCGGCACGCTTCTAACCGACCTAAGGGCGTAATACAAGCAACCGGCATGCGTCTTTTAATATTCTTTTTATAGTTCGCACCGTGGGAAAAAATCCGCAGTCGTGTGTCATCTCTCGCACTTATTTACAAACAGCTATTCATATTCAATGGCTGGAACAGTAAACAAAGGCTTCTCTGATGCCGGACCGTGGGAATGCTCTGCACTGATTGGACGACGACGCGAGAGGTCTCGGGGTTAAGTTGTATGACAGGCTCTTGAGCTTCAGTGGTGCGTTGAGGGCGTGAGAAAATGGCATGCGATTGGTTTGAATATCTCAATGGCTTCTTGCAATTAACAAGTCGCGCGACTTACTTTGTGGAACTTCAACTTAGCGCGCGCCGATGGAAGTAATCTTTTAGAGTTCTCGTGCCCGATGATGTTCCCCTCAAGTGGGTTTATTCTTTTCAAACTGTGTGTTTATATCGTGATTTCAAAGGTGTTGCCCCCTTAACACAGTAGCAGGTATTTTGCTCGTGAATGTGTAAACATCGTCGTTAACTCGACCCCTTTCCCACGTGCTTGGCGGAGTTGAGTTGCTTATTATGTAAAATGTTTTCATAAGATTTGAGTTTCTATTGTGGGATTGTTTAGATGAGGGTCATGCCACAAGGGAACAGTAAAACACAATAAAGCAAAGGAATGTTCCCACGGTCGCTTCGAGCCCATTTAACTCGAGGTCTGTTTGTAGGCTTAACCTTTCAATCGGGTTGTAAACCTACTTTAAAATTTGTTTCTAACTATGATTAAAATTTTTCTGGTGACACCGGATCATCAGGGAAGAATACTAAGCGTTTTTTCAACATTTTTAATACGAATTTGTCCGGACAGATTCTTGTTGTTTGGTGATGCAGTGAATTGTTTTGTTGATAATTAGTTCGTGTGGAACAAATTACTGCGGGTCGTTGAACTCTGATCAGCACCGATCTGTATAGACATTTGCAGTGCATTGGAGAAGAAAATTAGAAACGTCTTGAAAAATAAGGCTGCTGATATAAGATATGCGGGTGGTCTTGCAAATTTAGGCCAGCTTACAAAGGGAAATTTCACCAGGGAGCTCCCCCCTTACACTTATCCAGTTAAGTATGTCTCACCCCCCTAAAATACTGAAATTTTGTTTCTCTTGCTGGGCAGGACCGCGTGCATCGAGGACAAATAGCAAATAGTTTTTTTATTTTATGAAATTTTATGAAACCTTTCCACTTTATCCACAATTCTAATCTGTTCATAAGAAAAAAAAAATGGCAATCGTTGCCGAACACGACTCAATGACTCGCTACAGCTATGATTCACAAGCAGGCAATCTTGGCTAGCTTACTGTTGTTATCAATATCGATAATGTCAAACCTTTGGCTTGTGATAGTGTTGATAATCAGCTTATCTTAAGATGGCGAGTGAAGATAACAAATTCCAGTCATTGATATTGGCGCGTGCCGCCGGTGTGCTGCTGCTAACACAGCACGGCGTCCAACGGTGGGGTCAGGAAGCGTGGCGACCGTCTCTTTCACCGCACCGCTCACCCCTCTCCACCCTAAACAGCTTACTACGCACGATAAACTTTTCAGCTCTAAACAAGGTGTTGTCCTGACTTACAAGAAAAATATCCCCTTTTTTTATGAGAAGATGTATGGGTACTAGATGGGAGAGTTGCTTTTCAGATCTTAACTATCCACGCTGGCTAGGTTCTGTGATTCCATCGTTAGATTTAATCTCCTCTCGTAATGCCATATAAAACTTGAGAAAAAGCCGTGAGAATTTAGAAGCTGATCAAGATTGGTAGAGGTTAACAGCTAAGAACACGGAAATGATACGTCACTGGAACTTAGCTGTTGTTTCCGGAGAGCGTTAGCGAGACTGGATATACTGTACAATATCACTTCAGAATTTCGAAGATGAATTTCAATGCTCTATAAATATAAAGCGGCGAGGGTCGTTTTCCTTGCTAACGACGAATGGCCTGAACTTTCATCCCTATTAAGTTATACAGAAGGGCAGTAGGCCCTTCGTATAGATACCCTCACCCCCCCCCTTTCTCGAAAAGGGTGTGGTTGTGACCTCAGTTCTCTCAGGAACAGTTTCGAAACCGACTACAGCTCCAAGGTCAACAAAAGTTAATCAAGTAACAGTATTAAAGCGGTTACTTTCTATTTCACTGATTTAAATCCCCGGAATTCGACAAATTTATTAACTGTCGATGGCAAAATGGCCAAGCTGATATTGATCACAGTGTTTTAAAGTCGTTAATCTCGCTAGCCGTGAGTAGTATTTTTAGGAGCGAGGTTACACCCAAGCTTAATATTATGGCAGTAACAAATGTAAGTGAATTAAGACTTTTCACAGTATCACATTATGGTAGGGCGTCTCATCCATGTCGCAGCTGAGGGGCCAATTAAATAAAGGGGTGTCACAATAGGAAAACTTCCAAGCTGAAGACAAGTTGATATGCCCGGATATTGTTTTTGTGCTTGCCAGGAGTAGATGGAGCTTTCTCAGTTGCATTGCCGATCAGTATTGTAATTCAATAGTTGATGATTGTTAAGTGTTCGGAAGTGAACAATATTGTGGAGAAAAGAATGGACGTAAAGTTAGTTTGAAACGTGTTCTAGAACTTTCCTTGGTCTCCACTAGGATTTTGCGCGTCGTTAATTAATCGCTGAACTGAATAAGTTTTGAGTCATTATTCGACCAAGAGTTCAGACTAAAAGAGTGATAAATTGCCATTACATGAAACTGTCTCGAAATAAACAGTAGCTTATTTATAAGCCACTCCCATTGTCAAACAAAAACTCAGTTGTTCTACTCTCGTTTAAAAAGGCTCTCTCTCTCGGAGTTCGCTAGAACCCTTCATTTACATGTAGCGAAAAACTAACAGTGACTAATGTATATCTGCAACCTGACTTCTCGGTCTCTTCGTTTCCCTCGAAGTTTTATTCACAGACTTAAAACTTAAGCGGAAATAACCTTGTATACTGTCACGAGCTTAGCCACATGGAATGGTTTCTTGCCAACAGACTCTCTATGGTTTTTAGGGCTATATGGGTTCACACAAGCTTTTGCCTTTGAATGTGGGAAAACGCTACGAGACAAACTGCAGAAATTGCAGAATAGAGCAGCCCGTGTGTTGACATTCTCTAACTATGATGCTGATGCAACTGAGCTACTCGAGTTTTTAGGGTGGAAAAATCTTGCACGCCAGCAGGAAATCCATAAAGCCACCATGATGTTTAGATGTCTGCACGGGCTAGCTCCAAGGTATCTATATTCAGAGTTTACGTGGCGTGACTCTGCTTATGACCTCAGGGACTCTGAAAATAAGCTTAATGTTCCACTACCGCGCACTAATTATTACAGAAAAAGCTTTAGCTACAATGGCGCCACATTATGGAACAGTTTACCACGCGATATAAGGAACATAGAGTCTCTGGGGTTATTTAAACGTAAGATCAATGACATTTTTAAAGTCTAACGCACGGCATTCACGGAAAACAGCTTTAGTGTTATAGTATGTAGTTTTAATTTTAAATATCTTAGCGTATGTAATATGTATTTTTATAGGCTGATGAATTGATCGTGTCTAAATAAAGATTACAATACAATACAATAGAGATAGTCAAATGAAAATTTAAAACCAACAACTACGCCGTGAAACACGTGAAATATCAAATACTGTTTGAGTTGTAACACATAATTGGCCAAATGCATTCTACTGAAGTTATAATCTTTAGACTTACAAACATGATTGGACGTAAATACGGTAGAACAATGAATTGGGCACCCGCTGGCAACTCAGTCCAAGCTCCTTTTAATTTTCAGAGCAAGCAAACACCCAGATTTGCTACTGAATTCCTGAGTATCACTCAATTTCTACGGAATATCAAGAAACAAACAAGGTGTTTTTGAGGTGGCGTTTTCTGAGGGGGTATCGTACAAAGTTCAAAGTCTGTATGTGAGCTCTCACTCCAAGAAGGCAATAAACACAGGATAATGAGTTTATTGGATTGGGTTAATTCTGCGTTTTATGCACTGATACATGAGCGGAAGTGAGAATAATTGAATGGATGGCTTTTCAGAGCTCTATACTGGCAGTCTACCAACTTTTAATAGTCTCTTCTAGATTTTGTCGGAACGCACTTCCCTTGTGGAGTCAGGAACTCATCTTGGTTAAGTACCCCTAAGTGCTTTTGAGACCGACAAAGACCTAAACTTTCTAACTTGGTGCTTCTGCACTTTCAGCCTATATATGGTTGTTACTTACCTGGCAGAGGCCGTTTTTCATACGTAGAGAGGGAGGACCGTTTTTCTCCCGTTTTACGAAGTGTCGTTTGTTAACGGTTAACTAATTGACAGGCTACTAAAGCTGGCAGAACGCCGGATTGAAACCGTAGGCTAAGTAAAGAAAGACAAAAAAAAATCAATCCAGAACTGATTTCCTCTCCAAAGTTAAACATCTTTGAGTTCACCACTAGACGAGTATTGAGGCGATTAGAGAAAGGGATCCTCTCATTTCTTCAAACTTCAAAACGAATATCAAAGTTCGAAGAGTCGTCTGACAGATCTCACTGATCGCTCCGGCTTATTCTTCAGTCAATCCAATACGAAGATCCAAAAATTTTCCATCGTTTTGTTTATTTGGCCGGGTGTGACCGTGGACGGAAGGCGAAGAACTGAAAGAGATAAATGGCGGTTCATTTTATTACTTGCAGTTAGTTTTACGGGGCATTGGGTTCAAATACTTTTCACTACGGGTCGAATTTAAGTGATGAAAGACAATACTTGTAGCAGAAAAATGCAATACAAGGTTTTTTAATGGGATTTTTCATTCCTAACATGCACTCAAGGTTCGAAAATGTAATTGCCACCACAGACGCCATTTTGACTACTCCAAGGACTAGGTTCAATATGGGAGGGAAACTCGATTTAGAGAGCTAAAGCTACTAGACCAGTGTTATGGTTACTCCAGGCGCGAGTAATAATCCCGTGTGTACACATTCCTAGGTAGAATTAAAGTTTAAGAGACGAGTAAAAAATAAAAGAGGTTTATTTTTGACTGGAATGTAATTCATTGCGTGTTATTTTGTGGAGACCACCAGACATGACCGCCCAACAGTACAGGAGATTTGCCGGATTCCGCCGGATTAGCTTCGAGCTTCCGTTGAAAAACGGCAGGAAATCGGCGATAACAAGATTATTTTTGGCGTAAATAATCATGGTTGGTTTTTAGCGCTAGCCTCGTGATTTATCATCGACGAATTTTTCAAGTTAGTGACTCAGCATACTCAGTTGGGAAAACTAGAGTTCACAAGATTCATATTTTCTTGGAAACACTGCGTAGTTCTTTCCTTCCATTACGCCTGTGTCGTAGATGGAGATATTTCCTTAGCCATGATTATCCTTGCATACTGTATACGCTAATGCAGCGGTAAAGCGTCAGACGATGTCTCCTAGATTTTATTAAAAAAAAAAAAAGGAAAGAAAAAAAACAGCTTTCGCGATCACGGAAAGAAAAAACAAAGTCTGCCATGTCATTCAATTTCTTGTGGGATTTAGAGCTATAATAAAATTATCTCCAACCTAGACACCAAATCCGCTCTGTGTTCGCCTGCGCATGTGCATACTGGCAAGAAAGAAACCGTGCAGTCACGAAAACAAATTTCGGAAATCCATGTGGGAACTGCTGTTCTTAAAATATAACGTAACTCGAGGACTGTGGGACTGTAATTCCTGCTGTATGAGCAAATTAAGAGATTAAATTCCCTTTTGAAGACTTCGTCAACAGGTTATCCGTCGTGAATGAGTTCAATTCTAAAGGAATCTTGCAGGTCCCGGATGGAGAAATCTCCATCCGGTCGATACAGCAGCACGCTTTGTTAAAACTCATTCGCTGGGTAACGATTTACCCGGCATTGGAAAGCGTTATAAAACGTATGCACGATCCTTCGCAGTAAAGCACTATTTAAGCAATAGTGAAAATCAGACCTGAAAAAAATTCAGGCCTGCACGGGAATCATACCACTGACCTCTGCGATACTAATGCAGCGCTCTACCAATTGAGCTAACAAGCCAACTGGGAGCAGGCCATCAAATTAAATCGACATAAACCCGTAGATGATAAATCAAACGTTATAAGTTAGACGTTATACTTTCCGTTATACGTTCTCCCCTTTGAACAACTTGTTTTCTCTCCCTTGAAAGGCCGTTGCAGATAAAATGCCTCCGTTTATTACTTCAGTGAAGTAAATGAAAATTTAGTTTGCGAAAGGACCTGACATTTGCCGAGTAAAGCTAGGTTTTCAGCTAGTTTGAGATGGAAATGAATCTCGGTGTGGCCATAAATCATTTAAAATTTGGCGGGAAATTAATATTCCACGTGCGAACCGACAAGAGTAATTTAATCGACACCTGATCGTCTAGCGAAATAAATGATAATGTTTGTTCAGCGCAGTAAAGAAACCTGCTAATTACTTCGTTCAAATGTTGACCAGTAAGTTATTTATGAGTATTGCGGTTAATCAGTTGAGGCAAAATTCCACGCTTCATCTAAATTGTTATTTTAATGCAAATGCCGCACGTGCCTGAAGAGGGCAAACTGAAAGTCTGAATAAATTAGAAGTTTCGAAATTTTCCGTTTGAATGAAATCCTTTCTCTTTCCCGCAAGGAAAGTAATTTCCACCTTTACTTTTGAATTCTGTTTTCGAGTTCGGGAACATTCTGAGACCATCCGCTAGAAAAGAGTCACTACATTCGGCCGGTTTAGCTGGATTTTGGATAAACGAACTTGAATGATTACGGTTCATTCACACGGAAATTATTTTCCAAGGTCCCTTGTTGTAAAGAACTGGCTCACTATCGTCTAATTTCAAAAACGTTAACTTCGGTTCAGGGTCCTAAGGCCTCTCCATGAATAGGGAAAGGAAAGTGTATAATATTAAAAAAAATTAATCATTTGATAACTAAGCTGTTTCAAAAGTACATCGTAAAATAGAGGCCTGAACTTCAAATTTTCACGTGGAGCCATTGTCCAAAGCTGTTTCGTGATTACGACCAGGTTTTTTCGTAGTTTTAATTGCAGTGTCAATTTAATTGCAGTGTCAATTTTGTCATTGTCATTAATTTTTGAAGCTCGCGTCTGGCACAAAAGCGAAACGTCGTGTCCTCATCAAAGAAGATCATTTTGCAACTTTTTTGCTAAAGCTGTTACAGGCCACACCTGTGTGTAACATAAGCACATTTAATTAAAAAGCGCCTGAGACACGTGTCTTTTGAATAGCGAATGTTTTTGGCGCGTACTTTGAGTTTTTCGTCCGCTCTCTATCAATGCAATGATGGCTGATGCTTACCTAGTTTGCTTTCTGTCATCACCATGAAAAAGAGAAATGTTACGAATACTCTATTTCATCAACAATGTTGCTGAGCCCTGGCTCATTATGGCGGTATTTGACGTGCTTCAGAAGATTGAGAGCAAACAAGGCCACTGCTTGAATTTCGCGGGAAAATTGGCGGGAAGTTTAATATTCCATGCGGCGTGCACCCACTCATTGCTGACACGTTTGCCTCAGAAAATTAAACTGTAAATACACTGAGCGTCTATTTCGTGCGTTTAAAAATTCAAACTTGAATTAAACTGAGCTTCTTAGAACTGTAGCTGACGTCTGTCTGTTTGAAGGATTTGAGTTTTCTTTTAAACTTAAATCTGCCGCTCAAATCATAACTTTTGTTAAGACACATCATTGTTGGCAACAGGTGTTAATAGGTTCTCTGCTTTGAACGCGGCCCTGGCTTGCGTGTATTGTAAAATTTATTTCCTCTTGCACAAGGCTTTAGGAACTCATATCGCACGCACCCAGCAGAAGGGGGTCGTATCAGCTTGTAGCTCACGTTTCACAGCGAATTTGTCTCATCGAAATTTGCTAACACTAAGAATCTTTCAGGAAGTAGTGAGAAACTTTTCGTCATGAAATTTCCAGTAAGTCGTGCAACTGATAAAAAGGTAAGAAAAGATATGAAGTTGTGGGTCATTGTAAATTCCTATATGTAAGCAATAGTCTCGTGAAGTGATTCGCGTCAGAATCAACTCCCAAACCTATTTGTTCCCTGAATTTTTTCAGACTGGAATATGTTTGACCGTAAACTTATGTGGTTTTCGTGACGAGACTAAGAAAATTTCTTCAGGATTAATATTTTATTGTTCTCGGCTTGAGAATTCAGCAATACTAGTGCGCTCTCCTCGGTATGCGCTTGCGAAGTAAACGAAACATTTATTTAAGTTGTTTTCCCAAGTCGGGGACAGCACTCTGTATTAAGAAATCTTGAAGACAAATCTTTTAAATTTTCAGTGAAATTCAAATCATAGCGGCAAAGTATTCAACCAAGATCATAATAGTCCTTATATTGCTGTTAATTACGCGCAGTCAGTGCATTAAGCGAGGATAACAATTTAATCCCATAGACTCGTATCAGTTCGATATTAAAAATTCAATCAGTTTCCCTTCTGAACCACAACGATGTTCAATTTTAATTACATGTGTAGGAGAGCGAAATCTCTGATTATTTTTACCTTCTCCACTTACAGCATACTCGATTCTTTTGACAGGTAAACAAATCTATTCAAGATCGCCTTCGACGCGAAAGGATAAGCAAAAGCGTCGAAGCGCTCAGGGAATTGGTACTTGGACCTTCTACTGAACACGTGAGTTGAGTTGTTTTCAGTCACCGTTTTCTCGAGTCGAGTTTGCGACCTGTCGCGGGTAAAGCTCGAGTTAAGAAACCCTAAGAAAAGAAAGCCGGTTGCCCCAGCCTTTGCACTTGTCTGAAATTTCCTGAAACTGAACCCATCTGTAAAAATTTTATTCCGAAACGTTTTTATAGATAAAACGCTTTGAAAAGAACAACATTGAGGCTTCTAAATGGCTCAAATAAAACTGGAATCGATCCTATAAACGAAACAACCATAATAACAAAAATACTGAGTTTAAAAGAAATCGGCCAGATTTGTTACAGAAACATGACAATTCAATGATAATCAAAACTTAACAACTTTTTTCGTTGAATACGTCGTGCTGAATAAAAATCTTGCTCTTGCCATATCGAGGGTGTGATCCATTCCATGCTCTTAAGAACAGGCGGGCTCTATTAGCAGACTCTGAGCAGCGTGTCTCGTTATGTGCGCCTTTGTAACCTCTCTTTCACTTCCCTCCTCCTTTGACTTAATTCAAAGCATTTGTCGCAATCGATGTTGTTTAATCTCCCGCATTTTGGTGCGCGGGCGAAACACGTTTTAAGCTATACTGTCACACGCCTTGCACTCACTGAAGGTACGAATTCATGCTTAATTTTTGTTGATTTTGGTCCCTTTCAGACGAAGATCGGCAAAGCGGACATCCTTAAACTTACAGTACAATATATCAGAAGGCTGAAAGGTGGGAACTGTCCGACCCTCTTTATCTCATCCAAACTTAATTATTCATTAGCTGTTCACTTTGCACCTTTCCGGATGTTATCCAAATTCAGAGGGCGTCGGCTTCATCTTTTGTCACTCTTAATTATATACTGGTTTATAAAATCTGCTTTAAGTCATACAAATTACTGTATCTATTTTCTTGTAGAACGTATGGAAAATGTTGGAGAAGACCAAGAGACAGTAGAGATCTGCAACCGAGAGTCAAGCGCCCGAATATCTTCATCTGGAAACAACTTCGGCAAACCGTCAGTTTGTTCGACGAAGGAGCAAACTAAACAAACAGAAGAAAGGAACATCTTAGAGAAAGACGTTAGTTCTGACAATTCCAAGTTCTATGACAGCGGGTACGTCTCTAATCAAATCTTCTCGAGTAAGTCACAGTCGTGTTCTACTAGATCAACCTTATTTGGAAACACGACCAATGATTGTGGCAAAGACGCTGTAAAGCGAAAACCTTTCAGACAGCTCAACTACAATAACAATCGAGGAACGGACAGACAAACAATTTGGCGGCCTTGGTGAATGCATGCGTTCTTAAAAACTCCAGTTCTGGAATGAATCCGCCTCATGACCTCAAAGTTTAATAAAATCCTTAATAAGTTTAATAAATAACAAAGTTTAATAACATCCTTGATTTAACAAAATGTCTTGACGTTTTTGGTGTTCTATGAAACCAATAAAGTCGAATTAGCGTACATCGTAGAAAAGACCGGTTTTTTTTGTCAAAAGAAAGTATTAATCGGTGTGCGGGTAAATTTAATATAAGTTGAATTTTACACTTTTATCGGAAAGGAGAAGAATATCCAGATAAGAACAGTATTGTACCAAAGCTTCTAAGTTATATCGTAGAAAGTGTCGAGGGCCCGGGTCAGGAAAAACAAATACCGTAGCTAAGAGTCCAACTCTTTTTCATGGTTCTATTGCGCTATTACCAGTTCCACAAGCGCTGGTTTTAACATTTTGCATAATTTTTGTTCAGCTCCGTAATTAGCAGTAATCGCGATCGGCGTATTTATCCATGGTCTTCATGGCCGGATTAAGATTTCTAACAAATCATGACTACCTTGAAATTTTCAACCTTTTGAACCATAAATTATGGCTGGCTTAATGCGCGTAGGATTCTTTCGGGGTACGCGATGCAATTTCAAATAGGATTGTCATAAAAAAAAAAAAACCGAATTTAAATCTTCTTTCGAAATTCCTTAGATCACTGGAAGAGCGCATGATTCTATTTCAAATTACTGATTACTATAACAACTGCTCCCTCCCAAAATAATAAACGCAAACTTTCGTTAAATTAATCCTTTCTTTATTATAAACTGCCAAGCAGTAATTTGCATATAAATTTACAAATAATCTCTTTCACTTTGTCATTCATAATAATCTCAACAAAAGCTCTATACGCCGGCGAAGAAAAGCAAGTAAAGAAACCGCACTCAGTGCGTAAAATTATGACAGGAATCCTGCCTTAGATTTGCAACGTTGCCTTTGAAGAGCTTACTTTCTAGCATTTTAAATTCAGTGTTTATTGGTTACCAAGGACGCCATAGTGGTGTTTTTGTTTCAGCGCTAAGAGAACTCGCAGGCGAGAGGCTGATTTGCTGTGTCTGAGCCGCCGATGGACTGACAGGAGATGGTATTCTTAGCATTTCAGTTTTAACTGGACTTGTTACGGGAATAAAAACTGTAGGTTGATTTGTTGGAGATGGCGGTGGTGAAGGATATGGAACCCAGACGGTGTTTGGCGCAATGGCGGGAAAACTCGAAGTCACGGCGGGAATCCCTGAAGCGTGGCTCGTGGCGACACGGTTAGTGGCGTCGCTATGGTAACACGAAGCCAAGTGTGACAAGAGTTTTTCCCTGAGCTGCTCGTTTCCTTCACAGGTCGTGCTTCTGTTGACTTCGTTGAAGCACTGGTTGAAGCCAGCTCTGTACTCGGCTGGTGACTGAGGACCTAAACGAAAACGAAAACCGTGGTTAAATACTCGTTTCGAATGATTTTTAACTAGCTTTACGGTACAAATTCTCCAGAAAACCTATTCAGTCGACAAATTGCAAGACATGCAAGACTTATACGACATTTACGTGTAGTATGTCTTATACAAGACTTGCCGTGCGAAAACAGTAAAGTGAAGATTCTGTCAAAGTCCTCCGTTTGCCTCATGAGATTTTTCATAATCGCATTATCGTCTGCATTTGCGAGGTGTTTCATAATTTTAGCAAACCGGTTTCAGTTCTAATTAACACGTCGTCACTTCCACGAATGCTTTGTTTAGAACTCAGCAAAGTTTCACTTAGTTAAATCTTACCTTCAGAGCGGCAATCCTTTCGCTGTAAGGCTTTCAAATATGTCACAGTCATCTCAAGAACATCAGCTTTCTCCATCTTGGAATAACGAGAAGCCTAGACAAGACACAAACGATATTCGTTTAAATATTTTATTGGAATCTAATCTGTATAAGCTTAATACGTACACCGAAATCACATTTATAATATTTTATCAGAGTCTGCGAGCATGTTTTCGAGCGAAGGAAACTTCTCCTCAGAGCTGGTTTTGTTAAACTATGAACAAAAACAGAAGATACTTACATCTTTATGCAAAAGATCCAAGACCAAGCTCTTCATTTCGTTCAAGCTTTCATTGATTCTCGCTCTGCGCATTTTTTCCATCAAAGGTTTCTTTGCCTGTAGAAGAAAAGTTATATTGTTGGAGACAAGTTTGGAAAGTTGTGCCAGGGATGTGATTGAGCGATTTAGTTGAAAAATGACACATCAGCAAATTACAGAATTATGAATAAGAATTGTTTACCTTTCTTCTTTCGGAGAGAATCTTGCTAACATAGATTGCACTGTCATAGCATTCAACAGCCATGTTTTTTTGAAGTTTGCTAACGAGTTTTTTTATGGAAGTTTGTCGGAGATGTTGACTATGCGAGTGTTTGTCGCGAACCGTCCGACATGCATGATGCGATCACATTTATATTCATCAATCGTGGGAAAATATCGGGGTCGTGTGCCGACATTGGATGAGTTTTATTTACAAACACCTGTCCAGTGACAATCGGCTTGCTGCCTAAACAATGCTGGCTTCATAGACAAAGCCACAACCGTGGGAACAGTCGCCTCTGATTGGCTGAGTGCTTAGAGTCGCACGATAACCGTCGTTTGCATTGTTTCCCGCCTTCAGTGGCGCGTGAAGAGCGTGAGACCAGACGAAGCTGATTGGCTTAGAGGCCCGTAATTCACTTCATATAATTATCGTTTTGCTACTTGTACATTCAAATTTTTAAAACAAAAGCAGAATGACAATCTCTGCTCTTGAAATTGGGCATCCAGGCTATTTGAGCACGTGCCGTAATTGACGCGACACCCTCGTTGCTTCTATAGAAGTGAGGTTTTCTTTTCCTAGCAAAACTTGTGGTTCTAAAGCCCTCTAATAAGTTTTATATTGACCGTTTTAGAAAGTTTAAGTCATTCTGTTATAATCCACGTGCTGCAGAAAACATAACAGGTATTATTTTCATTGTTTGTCTCGTTCTTTATCAGTTTATCTTTCTTCACACTTAAATCGGGCTTTGTAGAATGTATTTCAATAACAAAAGGAAGCGAAAATTTCCCACGGAAGAACGACTCGCGAACTAAATGTGAAATAAACGACATTCCCTTGGTGGAGCACGTATTTAACACGACGCCAGGTGGAGTTTTATTTGTTCTGCTATAATGGAGACACTGATACGGGTCTATGTTTGACAATCAGGGATATATCTCGACTGAGCTCATAATCGAATCAATTACTTATAATTCATATTAAATATCGAGACCACGAAAAGCTAAACTGAAAGTGAAGTGACAGCGTTCAAAAAAGTATCGTAACCTCTTCAGCTTTTTTCATTTTTTATTTTATCTTAATCTTTGTTTAAACAATTTTTAAGAAATGGGAAAACTCAAGGAAATATTTGTATAGACTGAAGTCTGCAGGAAACTCATTATTAAAATCCAGTCAAGTCTCTAAAAATAAGAAAACTGCAACGTCTTGTTTCCTGTTCCTGTTGTTATGTCAACTCCTAAATAGAGAAAACCATCGATCATTATCAGACAGAAATACTGGGAATATTATAAATGCTGCTTCTTAACAAACGACTTCATTTAAAACTGTTAAGTAGGTTTGCCCTTAATAAACCTTTTAAGCAGATATCAGCTCATGCGATTTTTTTACTAAAGACAAGAGAAAAAAATCTGGCTGCACGATATATATTTTATGCGATTATAATTTGCAGATCATCGAAGCGAACGTATTTGTAGTATTATCGAAAGAGCAGGATTCCATGTCTGTTTTTCAACGTTTAGTATATGAGTAACTTGTAACGATAATGGACATAGCTTATGAATAGTAGCATAATTGAACAAAAGCCGCTTTATACCCTGAGTGTGTTGAATATTGTTCTGACTAGACAACAGGACATTAAAGCTGACACTTCCATGTTCTAATTGTGCTCATGGAACAGATAATTGATAATAAATTTTTGTAATGTTTTATCTCTTGGAAGGGGAAAAACTTATTCCAAGAGCGACGAAAGAAAAAAGGAAAATGCAAATATTTTTTGGCATTAGAATGGCGTGTTTAAATAAATGGATTTCTGAGCTCCTCATGGAGAAATTTGTCTACATAATACGCTATCAATCATGCCTTCAAAGTTGTACATAAACAACTTGAACACAACATGTTTAGCGGCAGAAGATCTTATTTTTTCAACGAAGTTGCGAGTGTAGTCGTGTTCCAGAAGCCCTTTTACAAAGGAATTAATGTTTACCCTAAAGTAGAATTTACCTCTTTATTCTTTAGTCGATAGCCTGCTTACCTGAACCGCGAGGAAATGGAAACAATGTTTTGAGCTGGTAAGCGCAAAACAAGTGGGTAACAATGAAGTACTTCACTACCTCGAGACTCAAGTCTGGTTATAAAATATCATTGTGTCGTAAATATTTCAGGACTTCAGAATTGAAACTCTTCAGTTGTATCAACTTGTAACATATGTAGTACTAAGTAAAGGGTCACGGTAATTTTGACGATATTTGCGCTCTCTTCGGTTTTAAACTCATTCAACTATAATGGTAATTTTTAAAAACGAATTCGTCTTTGAGCGAACATTTTTCATAAGCTAATTAAAGTCCTGTTTGATTCTTTAACACTTCTCTTCTTGCCAGCGTTAATTTCTAGAAGTAAGCCACTTATGATTTATCACAGCGTTAATCGGCTCGCTGCTTTCGAGCCAAGTCTGGATTGATCCAAGTGCTAAAACGATTTCTAACGTGCTGAATCAGTAATCCTGGATCTCTATTCACGTAAATGTTTGATCAATTTCCCTAAAATGTGGCTGGGGTATCCACTGCTGTAAATATTTCCAAATAAACATCTTCCTGTAAATATCATTTGGCATCGTTTGATGCTCGCTACATAGCAGTTCAGACGTTGCAAATGCGATTGTAAAATGCGACATATTTATAGACACAGGAACATTACCATAGAAGACTAAATCATCATCTTCTTTTTAATGACATATTCTTTGTTTGGCTAAAAGCCTTTAACAGAAAAATTACAAGCTTACGCAAAAATGCGGCCTACTGAAAAGCTACATCGTTTTACGTTTCTTCATCTCTTAGCATTTCAGAGTAAACGTGAGGGAAACGGGAGCAAGGAGAACACAGACAATATCTTTCAGTGTATCTTGATTTACAATGAGAGCGCCAGCTAAAAAACCAGCATATGTCTGTCTATTATTATTAATCTCATGCATCCGCTTTTCATTGATTTCAGTTTACATCAGTACAGTCACACCCAATGGGAGAACCCAAGGGACAACCTAAGATTTGAGCTTGTTCATTCTAACTCTAAAGTTCTTCACGACTCCTTTACCCACCGTGCTAGTATAATCTGGAACTGTTTACCAACCCCTGAGCTAAAAGCTGTTCCAAGCTTTACCTCATTTAAAACTCACCTTAAGAAATCTCACAGGTCTGTAGAAGTGATTTCATCTGGCTCTAACCCAACAGCAACGAACAACAACGTCGATGATTTTGTGATACTTTTAACTCTAATAATTTAATTTAGTTAATTAGTTATTTGCATTTCATCTGTAAAATACTTTTTCCACTTACTTTTGCATGTATTTATATGATATTTATACTTTAAGACCAGGCCCACATTAGCATTTGCTGCCATTATTAACCTGCTTCATCAAATAAAATATATTATGGTATGTTATGTGGCTCCTTGTCTTCAAGCTTCTTCGGCTCATCTGCTTCAGCTATTTTCTTTACATCGCCATCAGTAGTTGACAGTTTTGTTTCACTGAAGCAGGAAAATCTCGGTTATTCGGGAAGATTCAAATAAATGGAGCTTAGAGGAAATTCGGTACGAAGCAGTTCCAGACACGATTTTCTGTGGTTTCCGTTAACAAAGGGATGATCCTGTCGTATTAAATTTAAGCTTTTCTGGGTGACAAATTTACGAAATTTGACATCATAGTTCCGCTACTAGAGATAACAGATTCATCTTACGAAGGGTATTGTTCTTCAACGGTAAATCTTGACACAAACTAAAGGACCCACTCAATAAATCTTAATAATAATAATAATAATAATTTAATATTTATATTGCGCAAATTAACATGTAGATATGATCAAATGCGCATTACAACAATTTTCGGGGGACTTTGGCCAGATTTCATCAGCAGTTTACAAACAATCGAAGGAAACTTATTTGAAGATGCCCCCTCCCCCCAATTCCCAGTAAACAGGCCAGACCACATCACAGTAATCTCGTGAGTGGGTTCTTTAACGTCCCCTGCCCAACCAAATTAACAAATTAATAGATGCAGGAGACGGTGGCCACTAATGACTGATAAGTGGCCACATCTTTTAATGTTTCCTGATTTTTCCCGCCTTGGCTCGGTTTCGTTCAAAAAGGCGTTCTCCACTGGTTTTGTAGGGATTGTATCTCTGATATAAGCAAATCCGAAATTCTTGTAGTTGTGCGACCTGAAAAATCGTCTCACTGGATAATTTCTAGAACCCTCCCAAGCCAAAAGAAAGGCTAAAATACAGGGAGAAATTAGAAGCAGATGAGCAATGACGGCGAACGAGAAAGGGAGGGCGGGGGTACGTGGGAAGGAATTGAATCGTACTCAGTGAGTAACGGAAAAGGACTGAATGGCCAAAACTTGTTGAACATACAGAGAAAAAATTACTGGACAGTCAAAGATCTTGACCCCTTCTCGCCTCCTCTCGATTGCTCATTATCAACCGTAACAACTGACTTGATGTAATCTGGATATCAACACGTTCTTCCTTAACTACAAGAATAGAAGCTTTCCTATGTATATCCATCCTCGGGAGAAGAAATGCTTCGACACCTTCAAGTTTGCCCGTGCAATGTAATCAGTTGAAATCCGAGAAAGGTATAATTGTTCAGACAGTAATCTTGAAGGTGCTAGACATTTATCAACGATTCCCTTGTTTAGGAATACAAGAAGTTTATGAGACGGAAATGGGCGTTAATTCAATTAGGGACCACCCTTTCCGAGGCGAGAGAACGGAAACTATATTTATGACTTTCGATACGAAGGAAAAGATAAAGTTACCGCATATGAACAGATACCACAAGGGAGGGGAAGGACTTCTAAATATGATTTATGGTTTAAGTTGATATAAAGAACCTCAGAGCTAAAACCTCTTTGTCGACAATCAAGTTGGATGCCTCGAACAAGCGTATGGACCAGACATGTTGAAAGATGATGTAATCGGTAGATGAAAAAATCCGAGCTGGGATCTTATACTCCAGTAAAGCGAGAAAAAGACGATCATCGCGGGCAATAAACAGGATTAAGACTTAGCGCCTTAGTGACATAGACTTTGCGGCTATGGTGTAGGATTGATAAAATATTTGAGTTTTAAATGACACCATTATTTTCTCTTGATAACACTTACTGGTAATTTTCCTGCGTTTGAACAAAGAAAACTTACCATTGAACAAGTTAATGATCCATTAACACTTCTATTTTCCTGTTTTAACCATATCCAGCTTTATAAAACACTCATCATCTTATGATCCAAAGATCTACTTTAAATACCTGCATTTGATAATCATACAATGAATAAAGGCTGAAAGTTTGTAAAGAAACTGTGGTGCTGCGTCGGTGGGGGTAACAAGGTAATTTGGTTATACAACTAAGTTGAAATTGTAAATTGGCCACAGTAACGGATAAAAAAGCTGACGTTTCGAGGGTTAGCACTTCGTCAGAGCGAATGGAGGAATTGTGGGTTGTATGCGGGTTCATATGCACAAAGAGAAGCTACGCCATTGGTGGGAACATGGCGACAAGAAAAACACGAATAAATTAGTGGAATGAAAAGCATTCGTTGATACCTGTGGGATTAAGAGTGCCGATTTGAAAGATAAACTTTTGTTCAAGAGTTTTGCGGCTTTCCGTGTTACCTAAATGTAAGGAAAGACCGCAGATTGCCATATGTTGTTTAGAAAATATTAGTTAAATTAAAGTGTCTAGCGACTGGTTTTGATGCGTCCTTGTCATTCCTTTCAACGTCGCGAAGGTGTTCTCGGAATCGGTCACCTAGTCGTCTTCCTGTTTCGCCGATGTACAACTTTTTGCAATAAGTGCAAGTTATGCAATAGATTACGTAAGCGGAGGTGCACGTGAAGTGATCGGTGATCGTAATGGATCGCTTGGGTCCCGATATTTTCTCAGCGTTGCGATTGAAAGGAGAAGTTTTGCATCGTGCGCGAGCGCATTTAAAAGTGCCGCGTTGGTCATTAGTTTGCAATGAACTTCTGACCAAAAAATTGCCTTTTTTTTTGTCGCGTTTGAATGAAATAGGTGAAGGTTGCGAAAAGATGGTGCCAGTCTCTGGATCGTTTTGAAGTAATTTAAAGTTTTTAAGAATAATGGATTTAACTGAGTGGTTGTGAGGGTGAAACGTGAGAGTGAATGGAATACGGTCGGAATTTTCCTTCTGTGACGTTTGTAGCAGGGCTCCCATGCGCGCGTGGGGCAGAACATGCGCGCGTGGGGCAGAACCCCATACCCATGGAAGACCATGGAATATGGTCAAGCTCTTTTCGTTTGGTTGTCACGTGACTGACCGAGCGTACGTACATGCCTAAGGGATCGAGGGGACCCAGGCGAGTCTTGGCAAATGCACATCTTTTATGCTATCATTAATATTACGAACTTGAGAGCTCCGCTTTTAGGCATGGCTAAATCTATATATTAGTGCTGACTGTCGATCAATAAGTTGGGCGCGGTGGTGACCCGCTTGAAGGACAGAAACAGGGTAACCACGTTTTTCGAAAAACTGGCACATTGACTCTGATTTGTGGGAAAAATCAGAGTCATCATTACCAAAGGACGAGGTCTTAGAAACTGAGAAAAGGGAATGCAGTTCTTTAAATTTGGCTCTCGGTCATGAGGCACGGACCTCGCGCTAAGGCGGGGGTAAACCTAAAAAAATGCCCATTTTTCAACCTGATTTTTCATGGCAAGGATTCAATTGAAAACTTAGGCAAACTATATATCCCTGGGAAGCTTATGACTTGAAGATTATGAAAAAAAGAATTTTACACTCCACATGTCAATTGTAATTGGATACCACTCGTTTTATTGTGCCACCTGCTGGGTTTTACCAAGGGTTACTTAAGAAAAGATAACTCCTGGAATTAATAAAAAAATGCTTTTAGTGTTAATTCAAAGAATACATGTTGCTTATTGTTATAAGTAGATGGATTTTTGATATGTTGAAAACATTTCAAATGGTGATCGATTAAATTTGACATAGGAAATCGAAGTAGTGTTTCCCTTCATAACTTTGAGTACATAAATAATGTAGACAATTGCTCTCCTTATAACACAAAACTTATCAAGAGGAACAAATGCTGAAAATTTCAGATCATTCGGATAAATTGTTCTCAAGATATCTTTTCTTGAAGACAAAATTATTGCATAATGAGAAAATAGCCTTTAAACTAGTGGCCCAAGTGTCCATATTTTGTCTGCAGGTGTCTAAAAGTAATTTAAATGACTCCTGGTTCATATATTACTCCTTCTGCTTCTTGAAGGGCTTCCTACTGACGAGTCCTCAGAAGTTGCTCCCCTTAATGCTCTCTCTTTTCCTTCTACGTAGCCTGTAAATCAGACTTCATCAATCGTTTACTGTCTTTTGCATGTGCTGCCTCTCTGGTGCATACACCACCAAGGATAGATAGCCTCTCCATAATTTTTAGCCTACTACTAGTCTCTGCGGAGTTCTATTGTTATCGCTCTTGTTTTAATTGAACAAAGACTGAATGCATAATTAATGCATGGGGTTATATGGTACTCTTGCCAAAAAGTTTAAGATAAATTAGGCAATTTTATCATAAATAGAGTAAAGACCTCAAGTCATAAATATACATTCTGTGATTTTTCACCCCATAATTTTTTGTTACAGTGTATATGCACAAAACCTAAAAATCTTTCTTGTACCTGATCCAAGATTTAATAGATAAATCAGTGAAATTCAGCAGGGAAAAACTGGAACCGAGGGTCGATATGGTATGAGAAATAACTCATAATCGAGGACAGAGAACGACATAGACGTCAAAAAATTTCTCACCCATCTCACACGCGACCGTAGAGTTCAGGTTTGGGGCCAATGTATTGGCTAAAAAATTGGTGTTCAACAAAACCTACGAAAAGATTGGCATAGCTGGGTCCCATTTCGGTACCCATGGCTACGCCATTGGTTTGTTTGAAAAAGTTGTCCCTGAATGAAAAAAAATTAAGTGTGAGCACTAGTTTAGCTATGCGAAGTAGTGTTTCTGATTTAGGTTCCTTAACAGTACCATCGTCAAAACTTTACCATCATATATCAAAGACAGCCAACACGCTGTTGAAATTTTTTCGCGACTTTAATTTTCTTGAATAAAGGCTGATAGTTTCTAAAGAAACTGTTTGGAGCTGCGTCGGTGGGGGTAACGAAATAATTTGGATATATCAACAAAGTTGAAATGGTAAATTGGCCACCGTAACGATTACGAAAGCTGACGTTTCGAGCGTTAGCCCTTCGTCGGAGCGAATAGAGGAATTGTGGGTTGTGTGTGCTTTTAAAGGCAGAAAAAGGAGCTACGTGATTGGTGGGAACATGGCAACGAGGTGCACCTCCGCCAATGTAACCTATTGCATAACTTGCACTTATTGCAAAAAGATATACATTGGCGAAACAGGCAGAAGACTAGGTGACCGATTCCGAGAACACCTTCGCGACGTGGAAAAGAATGACAAGGACACATCGAAACCAGTCGCTAGACATTT